GGTCTGTCGCCCCTGGTTTCGACTTTAACTGGTTATTCTTGGACTTGCCAGTTATACTCCCTCCATGGACTTCCATATACTGTTTTGCTAACTTGATCTTCTCGTCCACGTCTTTTGATTCTCTCTCTATTAGAAATAGTGACATATCAGTGGAGCACGTGATTATGAATTGTTAACGCATTAGTAGATCTTCCAGTCCTTCAAAAATATCTTCACACTTGGTCATGTCAGTTCACCTCATGAAGTATCACTGTAGATGTTTGGTCATGTCAGTTCACCTCATGAAGTATCACTGTAGACGTGCCACAAACTGAACAACAGTTTCTCCGGTGTCAGGTTTGAATTCTCTGAACTTCTGACAAAAATCGTCCTCGGTAAGTTCATAGTACTTAAGCAAGGCCACTTTTAACATGTCATAGTCCTTGGCATTTCTGACGTCATGCCCACATACAGTTGAAGGCCTTTTTATGTGAAAAGGGGCTGAGACAGACTGCCCAGTCGTCTTTGCCCCAATTCTGACTTTGGACAAATCTTTCATACCTCTTCAGGAAAACGTCCATGTCGTCTTTCTGTTCATTAAATTTGGGTAGCTTTATTGGCTGACCCTGACCCCATTGTCATTCTTGGGTTCTCCATCTTTCTGTTGGGTGAGCTTGTCGATCTCTATTTATGCTCTTATTCTCTCTATTTCCAGTCTCTTCTCTCTCTCTCTCTCATTTTCTTCTTTTTCAATTTGTATTCTTAATCTCCCTGTTTCCAGTCTCTTCTCTCTTTCCTTTTCTTCTTTCTCAATTTGTGCTCTTATTCTTTTATTTCTCTCTTCTCTGTTGATGCTCTTCTCTCTCTCTCTTGTTGTTGCTTAGTAAACTCTTGTAGATCACCATCTTTAATATCAAGTCGTTCACTCCTCTCTATCATCTTATCAAAGCCACTCGACATGCTTATATAGTATGGTTGTGACCTCTGCAATATTTTCCCCACCACTACAGCTGTGTGTATTATTACGATGCCGTATTTCTGTACTATTTGTGTAAAACTTACTTGTAAGGCACTGCAGGTGTATCGCCTGATCAATGATGTGTAACTAACGGTTTTTACCACGCGCGATCTTTGTAACGTTTTTTTTTTTGGGGGGGGGGGTATATAAAAAGTCTCAAGTTTGCGTTAGTGGGAGAGGAGTGTTTTTTGAAAAGTTTTGTTTAGTTTAGCTTGAGTGGCCATTTCAGACAGAGATTTATGTGTCGAACTCGAAAGAGTTTTTCAACCTAGATATTAATCAGAGGTTTTTGTTATAAGCTATCATTAGCTTTTTGTTTACAAATCTAAAGAATTTGTAAGTTTAAGAATTAGTCTTAATTTTGTAAGCCTTGCGTTTTTTGAGAATTGTTGAAAACCGTTTTTGTAAATATCGACAAGTTTTGGTATATTTGACATTGGAACAATGAACTTTTTGTAACCATACATCTAAGAGTGAATTGGAACTTTGAATTTACAACCTGAAGCTGAATTTCGACATATTACGTTTTGAAGTGATTACGTTGAATTGGAGAGACAGTTCCTAAGTGGATCTACCAAGAAAGAGTTATTTTATCTTGTAATGTACCTTTTTTGTAAATCATTCTACATAAGTTAATATTTGTTTGTGTTGATGTTTGTGTTCTATTATATTTTATAATATATACTATATCTTTAAAACTACAAAATTGCAGAGATGTCATTTTTTTTTTTACGTATTATATAGTACGATAATACGGGATCGTAACAGTAAATAGGCCTGTTAATCAATTCCAAGTATTATTTTGGTGTCACTATTTATTTGCAGCTCATTGTCTTTATCAACCCAGAGAAGAAATTGCTTTTATCATCATGTATTCCAGGCCCATTCTTGTTTTACCTGTGGGAAGCTTGAATGTTTCATTAGCCTTATATAGATTGCTGTTGCTCCATGGATGATGAATAATCAACCAGCTCTCTCTCTCTATCTGTGGCGTAGGAAACATTTTGGCTATGATGATAAGTGATTGCCTTTAAAAGGCCCTGACAGACTTTTTCTACTTCACCTAGGAAAAAATTCTCTAAATTTTCTGTCTAGACTGATTTCCACAGGTTCTAGTAGCACCAAATGTTTACTCTACATAGAGCATTTGAGATCTGGTTGTGATTATCTCCCGAGGAATCTTTTAGGTAATCCTCTCTCCTGCTTGGTTGTTGTGAAACACGAATGTCCCAATTGTAAGGGGCAGTGTCTCGATGATGGGATACATAGTCTTTGCACTGCAATGTCGTAGTGAAGAATTTTGCTGTTTGTAGGAGCTGTTGATACTCTGCGATGCTACTGAGGTTCGTGTGGTGTAATAAGGCTTTGATTAGAGTGACTGCAGTACATCCTGTGTTCAGTCTTAAACAGGTGTCTTTTATTTTTTTCAGTCTTATCCAGGTGTATAGCACTCATACTGGTCATTGATAATGCATAATTCAGATGGAACACACAATATGTTGGTAATATTTTTAGCGCCATTTCCTTCTGAAATTTTCATTTCATTGATCCATCCTTTGGTAGCTCTGGTTACCATAATGTTAGTGTAATTGAGTTGTCTGTAAAAAGTTACCACCAAGTTCTTCATTGTTTCGTCCAGTGGGATTGTATTGCCTGCAAAGAATCTTGACGATTTGTCCTCATTAACATGTGTGTGTTGTTGAACCAGCAGAAGATGGCTGTGGCTTTGGCAGGATTAACAATCATTCCTGTGTCATTGCACAATCTTCTCACTCGGCTGAGGGATAGTTACATCTTGCTTTCAATTTCAGTTTTGATAGAGACTCTTCTGTACATCAGAACGTCACCAGCAAAGATTAGAACATAACACTTGGTTGAACTAGTGTGTAAATGTTGAAGAGAACTGCTGAGAGGTGATATCCTTGAGGCAGACTAGTACTGATGATGATCGTGATCTAGTCTGTTTGCTAGCTTCTAGGTCTCATGATACGTCTTCTGAGTAGTTAGTGCAACGATTGTTAATCTTACATATATTTAAATTATGTCTATTGTGGGAGTCTTTTCAGCAAGAATGGGTAGCTGGACTCTTCTACTGTAAGCATTTTCCAGATCTAAATTTGGTTCATCCAACTTCAGCAGGATAAGGTTGTTGATTATACTGTGATGACCACAATGTAAACCTTTGTCATTAGTATTTTCCCCATATCCGAAGTGTGGCATTTGGCATTGAAATCTCCTACCGCGAGATACATAGAAAATTTGTCAGACGGTCAAGCAAGAATATTTAGTCTTTAGCATGGTGTCTTATGTTATCTTTCATCTACACATTGGTAATTCGAATTTGTGAGAAGATATATGTTATAGACACCGCAGCTTCACAGGATATATATTGTAAATATAGTTACATAGTATAGAAAATGATGTTATACATACCATATGATAGGTATCAAGCTGTTTTGTTTGAAGTTAGGTTAAAATTCTATTAAAAAAAGGGGGAAAGTTGATAAAAAAACAAGTTCCGAAAGATATTGAGCTACCTTGTATAGTGTGTTTCCTCGATCAGAATAACTGTGCTCCAAGTTTGTTACATAATTAATGTAACAAATAATCGCATATAATGTTCGTGCTCTTTCTGAAACAAATAGTTTTCAAGGATTCTTATGCCTAGGGTTGTTTAGAAATTGGGTGACATGAAAGGCTGGAGGAGTAAAGATGATCTGTTAATCCAGTTATTATGTTTATGCCCATATATTCTTACAACATACGTGCTTAAATAAGCCTATGTATAATAAGCCTAACTACATATAAATTTTTCCCAGTCAGTTTATTAATGAAACTAGCAAAACAAAACAGTTTTAAGCAACTGAATTTATCAAGAATCATGGTAATAATTGTTTGAAGCCTGTTTGTTTGTTAGTAATTAAGCACAAAGCTACACAATGGGCTATCTGTGCTCTGCCCACCACGGGTATCGAAACCAGGATTCTAGCGTTGTAAGTCCGCAGATATACTGCTGTGACACAGTGGGGCTGTTTGAGGCCTGCAACACTGTTACCTTGACCATATCAGATGATCAAGAAATAATTATCAGCTGATTTACTTAGAAAATATTTTAAAATAAAACAAGAAAAAATATCAACATTTTTTGGGGAGGGTGGGGTTTATTTGTGTCAAAAGAATTTACGTGAATAAATACAACTTCAGGAAAATTTATAAAACTATGTACGAAAAGATGATTTTGTATTTTATAGGTTATTATTTCATAAAAATCTGCATGTATACAGTAATCACTTTTAACTATACATTTAGAAATTCTGTGTATAATGTTTTAACAAAAACTTTATTCCCTAGAGAACACCACTCCTTCTTTGTTTGACATCTTTATTGCCAATACTACATTAGACTGTACAACAATCAACATGGTCACGCATGTCAAGATTATACAATACATGCTTATATATATATACATATATATATATATGTATATATATACATAGATAGATAGATAGATTTACGTTTTACATAGAGGACCCAGAAAAATTGGTTTCGGTTTTATCATTGATAACATATACAATGATGGCCAAAATACGTACCGTATCACTTTGAAAACTTTACACATTGTCACGAAAAAAAGTTTACACACTGTCACGCAACTGCAAAAAGTATTACTACGTAAAGGAAGCTGAGTTTTGTCTCGAGTTTGTTTCGTGAACAACGTAAAATTTCGAAAATAATAGCATTATATATATATTTCGTAGATAGTATGTTTACATAGGTTGAACAATTTGGCCGTTTAAGATTTATGATTCTATGATCTTTAAATTACATCATAGAGCTTTGAGATCATATCTAAAAAAAAATCAAACCAGAATATAGTTTTGAATTTAGATTGCTTTCTTAATATGGTGGAAAAGTAAAAAAAAATAGAACAAATTGATTCTGGTTCTAACGAAAGATCCTTAAAACATTAGTGAAACCTATAGATGTAATGAGTCTCTATTGTAAAGAAGTTTCAGAATGGATAATACACAAAACTACTCAGCCCGGTATTAACTGCAGTTTTACCATTTTTTCTCTAAAATATCAGTAGTACCTGCTTACACACATAGATTTTTAAATAAATTATATATGTGCGAAATATTCAACACATGAATATCGTTAACATGTTATATATAAGATAAACACAAGTATAGCCACTGTTAGCTATTTCCGTCTTATCAGAAGAAGGTTGACAACCATCGAGCTGCCACAAACAATCGGAACACTTGATTTACATAAAGTATACTTTTCCTTACAGTATTTTTAAAACAACACGAAATAAATATATTTTATTCGAGGTGAACCAACAGAATGTTCACAGCAAAGCACCTGAAAGACGACATGAAAACAACTTCAAATAGCAACATTTCATTGGACCAGCTCTTGAGAAGGAGGCTTCCTAATTTCATCTTCGTCTGGTGATTCGTCGTTGGTGTAGCTGACGTAACGAACGGACGTATCTCTCAGTAAAGACTGTGTGGAAAAAATTGTAACAAATTAGCTATGATTCAGTGCAGATAAATTTGACTTCTTAAATTTCATTAATATAATTCTATTCCTGTCGTGCTCAATCATCTAGGTTTTTCCTTAATCATGTCAGGTTCAATAATAGAAATAAACCAACGTGAAAGAGTCAAAAATATCATTAGAGATTTCGCAAAACTCGTAGAGACATTGTTTATTATAAATGTCCCAGAGTAAAATAAATAAAAGAGCTCCAGAATCGGTGGATCATTTGTGCCATTAATAATTTGACCGGTAAAAATTGCTATAAGGTTTATTCTTGAATATTTTTGTTATTGAACGATCTTACACCCCATCAATATTACCAAAGGGTCAAGTACTGCCACTATTAGATTAGTTTCACGCTAAGCGGATGATGCTGCGGATAGTCTTTGCTAATTTGTGTGTTGTGTGCGCGCATTGTAGGCCAAATATTACATACACAGCTATAAACTTAATAGACTTACAAGTTGTAAAAATTGAAACACCTGTATAATATTTATGTATGAGTACATAACAAAAACCACTTCCTTTATTTAATGCGTTTAATTGGTTGGCGCCGGACGCTTCTAATTTTATATCATGTTGTAGGTAGTTGATTTTTTGCCGATTCTATTACAAGTAGTAATAGACAGCAAGCGTGCACATTGAGACATTTATTTTAGAAACGTAATATTCGTGTAAATTCTTTTTTAATATCAATCAATAATAATCAGTAATTGTATTAAATATTACAAATATTAATTTTATATTAATTACATTGCGTCATGTACGAAGAATTAAGTTATTGCAAACGCATCCCTCGTAATATTTATACTCCAACACCCATGCTTAGAAAAGTGGTAATAGACACACACTATATTTTATTTTGATATCACTTTTAACTGTTGTTGAATACAGAGCTAATTTTTCACTCATGAGCTTTTCTTCAACTTCCACGTTTGGTTTGTTTCAGATTTTTTCGTGCAAAGCTACAGGCTAACTGCACATAGCCGACCTTTAGTTATGACCTGATAGATTAGAGGGAAGACAACTGGTCAACAGCACCCAGAGTAAATTCTTAGGTTACTCTTATGTGACTAAATAGTGAGATTTCACAATCATTCTTATAGCACACTTACGGAGTGTGTTTTGACGGCAACGAGCTGAACCTGCGAATTCACAGTCCGAGCACGTTAACCACTAAGTCACACCAGGCTCATTGTTTAGTGGGCTTGAATTAGGATAAACTATGCATAATGATAAACGTCACTGTACAGGTGTATTTTCATAGAGAGCAAAAAAGTCTTTCGCTCTTGACAACAAACGACTAACCATCCAGTAAGGGAATCCTGGCTTAGAAAACTCATTGCAATTTTGGATTTCTTAAGAGTTTATTACACAATCATTATGCATTCAGTTTCTACATAACAACGTTCAAAGATGCTGTGATGTTTCATGATGTACATAATGGTATTGTGTGTGTGTGTGTTAAATGTATGGTAATCTTGATTATGCTTAATTAACTAACAAGTAGTTAGAACCATAGGTACCAGAAGAATCGTAAATTTAGTATGTAAAAACAATTGAAAAATTTAAGTGACTAATTCAAAAGACGAAACCACATGTGTAGACGGAAACACAAATATTTAGTACATGGAAACTAGAATTAAATTCTATACATATTAGCACTAGAATGAAAAAGCGAGTTTAAATAACCGAATACAAATTAAAGAACTAAAGTTGAACTAAAGGCACACTGAACTTAAAGGTATTGTTACGTCTCCGTTTGTTAATTAACTTTCCGTAACTTCGTTCCAACGAAACTTAAGCGACACAAGTTCTTTCTTAATAAAACTGGTTTATTATTTCCGAATATAACTTTACCAATACACTCAACTTCAACAATCGCGCTAAACAACGCTGTAACGTCTCTCGTGCTCTCTAACTGCAGTTCAATTACTCACTATCTAAACACACATTACATTCCCCTCTTTTATATACCAGCCTACCCTATATCTAGTAATTACTAGAGCATTCGCCAAAGTACATGATAGTTCTAGAAACGTTTCGTCACAGTAGTCACGTGACATGCTGACGCAACAATATAAAAAAAATTCTGCCTTGAAATCAACTTAAGTTAGTGTTTTTTTTATTTTCTTTATAGTTTATTAGAAAACAAATCTTTACACTCTTTATAAATGCATTACTATTTCTGTACATTAAGTGTTAGTGGACTTGTGTCCTATTGGGCAGTCTTCAAGGATATAATTATGACTAATTTTCCAACTACATTTATTAGGTATTATAATCACAAATCTTATTATTTTAAGTGTTTTACTTGTTTGATTTTGAAAGTTTTTTGAGGTAACTAAGAAGATATAATTAAGTTTCAAAAGTAATGTTGTTAAAACTTCTGTCCATGGTAGGTAATAATGGCAACCAACAGAGCAGACACCTTGGACCC